CCTGTCTTCAATTGGAACTCCAAATCACAATTTATCTTCTACCCTTTATTTGTATGATAGAATAATGACTATGGAATTTAATTCCAATTGCTCATTAGTTTATTTATGACTCTCTTATCAATGTTCCAAAAACATATAAACTGAAAGGCATATTGAACTAACATCAATGAAGCAAAAATGTAGTAAGCATGCACATCATGTAATAAGTTAATGAATTATAGTTTCATAAAACTCTAATTAAAAGCGTAGGGGAAAATGTTAAAGTAATGCAAGTAAAATTCTTAAAAACATACCATAATTTCTTGAGCTTATTCTTGGAAACAAAGAATACCTCTAATTTGCAACTTTTGATTTAAACTTCTCAGATTTAGTACCTTTCTACCATTCCATGTGTTCATGTCATTTCATTGACAAATTTCCAGTGGACAATCCTTAACCTTAACCTCTCATTCTATTTGGAAAAATCCCTTAATCTTCATCTTCTTGTTGACTAAAACAAATCATCCTCTTATTATGTGCCCAATCCACAGGCCATTTAAATCAACCGATACAAAATGATTTGACACACTCAATTCCATTCTCAAATTGATAACAGCATCTTGGTTGTGTTGCTTTAATTTGGTGGGCAATTACGAATTTGCAAGAGATCTTTACAACGAATAACACCTTGCATAAAGGATGGCATAACAAATGTGATCCTCTATTTTCTTTATACTTCAAGAATTAATTTGTATCTTGACTTGTTACAAATTCTTTCCACTTGTCAATGGTATATATGAGGCACTACTATCAATCCATAAAAGCAATGCTGATAATGGTTTAGCCATCAAAACTGCAATGCTTATTTGTGATTCTTGACAAAGATCAACATCGTCACAATCTATCATTTCAATGAAAATTTGTGTTGTAGTAGAAATCCTTTCCTTTTTTAATACTTTTGCTCTCACGAGACAAGTAAAAACTATTCCATATTCTTGACATCCATTCAAAACAACTATTATCCTTAAATTGTTGTAGTTATGTATGTGTAGAGAGATAGACGTAGAGAAATTGGTGTAGGCAAGGCAATTCTAGGAATTGATCTTAAGGATAATAGTTTCTGCCTCTCTGCAAGAAACTTATCCTTCAGATACAATACCTACTAATTGAACTTTAGTCACCCAAAGCTAGTATACTCAAGGAAGAAAGAAAATGCTAAGGAAAGAAGTTATATCTCTTGGTGCTATCTTGTTAATTTGTATACACCAATTGGTGCCTTTTGTACCACTTTAGAGAAACACAACTTTTGAAGAAGAATTAATGTCTTTTTTCAAGTTTAATATTTAAATTTTGGACTCTACCATGAAAGAAGACAACCGTTGCAAAATGGTTTCTTCCCTCTATACAAATCATTTTATCCTTTCCTCTTTGTTTTACTTTTTACCTTCTATTCCTATTTCCTACTCTATCCTTTCCCATTTCCTTATATATATATATATTGAAATACTACATAAATAAATTATATGTTATATTATATATGTATATAACATTATTCTATTATTATTAGACAATACTATATATATGCTAATATAAACAACAGTCTATGATGTTTGGTTTGATGTAAGGTGCAAAATCTAGGGATATGCTCAACCAAAGTCTTTTCCCTTGCTTATGGATATTGCTAGACAATAGGAGCTTGAAGATGTTGTGAAGGAATAGATTTGAACAGTCTTTGCTAGTTTGCTTTAGAGGATTGTATTCTTTGTAGCAACTATTTTGTTGCTTACTGTATTAGTTTTTATAGATAATAAATTTCCCATTTTATCTGAAAAAGAAAAAGGACCAAGATGGTGTTGGAAATTCAAGTTCAAGGATTATTTTAGTGCTTTCTAAAGTTTGGGGACCATTTTGGTACAAAAGTAAAAAATTCAAGGACTGTTTTGATATTTTATCCGAAATATCAAAAGTAAAAAGTGCTTTCTAAAGTTAGTGCTTTCGAAAATGTATTAAAGGAACTCATATTGGTTGTCCATCTAAAGCTTCAATAAAGTGAGTGGAATTCTTCGACATTGCTTTCCAAATATGGTGATTTCTAGGTGGAGGATTTCTATAGATTGACCATACTTGCACCACAACAATCGTTTTCAAGGGTAAAAAGTTGTCATTGAGTCTCTAAACTAGCTTTTCAATGCAAGCTTGATTGAGAAATTTGCACATGATGAAAGAATCTTGCATCACAGTCACAGAGCTTGATTACCAGAGAACGTTGAGAGACAAATATATCAAGATGCGTGGAAATATTAGCAAGAAGGAGAGAGCATTTCATTAAATGCAATGTGTTTCCCTGTGCATTGTATGGGAGCAGAGCTTGTTAAGGATGAATCTAATTCACACACGCTCTGAGCAAATAAATCAACTTAAATATTTGTCTGTTTATATTCGAACTTCTCTCTTATTATATGAAAGCTTAAACTTTTAGTTGAAATGGGTTTTTGATGTGGTAACCTATGTAGTCAGGTGTTCTTGCAGCCTCTTTGTTATTTTGGCCATTATTCTTGCTGCCTCTCCCTAATTCAATTAAAACTCAAAATTTTGCATTAATCAGTTACCCTATTTCTGTTTCCTGGTCTTAAATGTCATTACTCAGCCATAAGCCCCAGTGACCCAACAACTCACTGACAAGTCACAATATCTTCCGAATTTATGCATGATCTTGCCTGATTTGTGCTTATGGGCCAACAGATTTATGATTCAGATAACACATTAGAGACTGATACTAATTTTGGACCTAAATTGACTTATCTATAAGAAATTGTGACATAATCGTAAGTCTTTGAGTATTTAAGTGTTATCCAATAGGCAACCTATGAATTTTTTATAAAGATGTGATCTTGCAAGGAAGAACAAGAGACGACAAGAGTATATTAGATGTAAACAGGAAGAAAAAAGAATTAGCTAGATATAATCAATGTTAACAAGAGGAGGAAGCAGAGGAAAATATTCGCTTGTCAATTCCCACCAATTCTAAAGCAAGTTAGGAAAAAAGCCTATAATCTGCAGCTAGCCCTTTGCTGTAGATAGGACAGCATCTAAATCTGGCAGCTTGCCCGCTTTTATTATTGAAAATGAAAAGAGAAAAATGGAAGAATTTTACTTCCATCATTCTTCTGGTTTGGGCTCACCTTCACTTAGAGCAGCAGTCTCTGGTTTTGGTGGTTCAGAATTTTCATTAACTATGGCAGCAACATCTTTACCTGGTGACCCAGGTGCTGCAGCTGCAGGTGGGGCAGTTGGTGAAGAACTTCTTTCATTCTTGGTATCTTTGCCTTCCTTTCCATCTTTCTCATCTTTCTTCTCACCTTTTGCATCTTTGCTCTCTTTTCCATCTTTTCCATCTTTATTTTCTTTGGCTGGCGGTGGAGGCATCATATGAGGTGGTGGTTTCTGCTTCAGGGTCAAGAAAAGCTGCCTCATTCTTGAGAGGTCAGTTGGCTTCCCAGGCTTTGGACCTTGAATAACCAAAATGGAAGGCTTCTTCTCAGCTTCTTTCTTCCCTCTCCTCTTCTCAATATTAGGGACTTCTCGAGGAATTATCTCACTTATTGCTTTCCAGTAGTGCAAGTATGCTTCTTTGTGGAACTTCTCTTGGTTAGCCAAGTAAAGCTGCACACAAACTTCTCTTGGTCAGTCTTAGAGATGTATAGTAACAAAAATGGAAAATTATTATTTCGTAGCTTTTACCTTCTCTCTTTCTCTGTTGTTAGCTTTGTTGGTTTCACAATTCGTTTTCCTTTTCTCATAAAATGATCTTTTATATTCTTCAGCTTCAGCAATGATCTGATCCCTCCTCTCCTTCTCTCTTTTCTCCTTCTCCTCAAGATGTATGGCATTTTGACTGAACCCCAGAAAATTGAAGCATTAGAACCAACAGATTTCAAGTCTCAGTGGCAAGAACTAATGAAAAAACTACGCAACAGGAAAAAGAGAGAGAGAGAGAGAGAGAGAGAGAGAGAGAGAGAGGGAGACAGATATTTACACAAGAACTCCAAATTTTAATCCCTTTGTTGGGTCTTGACTCAACAGACTAATGTAAGCTTCTAATTCATTACTGGTGATAATATAAAGAACTCTCTAAATTGGTTGTGGAATTTTGTCAAACACTTCAAGAGCAGAAAAACGGAACGGATGATGCATGGAGAGGATTGAAAAAACAGGTTATACAAATCTAGTAATTTTTGCAAAAGCGAAAGCTAGAATTGGATCGCAATTGAAAGATGAAGAAACCCATAGAAATCATGCATTTCATTATCAAAAAAAGTAAGGAATGCAGATAAATTCAACCGTGCAAAAGAAGAAAATTCAGGGGAAACAAACCGGCGCCATTCTCGTCGCGCGCGACCTTCCTCTTGCATCTGTTCTGGAGGGGGCAACACTGGTTCATCCGAAAAGATCCCACCATCGCCACCGTCATCGCCACCTCCATTCATCTCGGACGTATCAAAAGGGGATGCATAATCTTGCTTCGGAGAAGGCATTCCAAATCCATACCCCTGCGGGGTGTTGTAATTGTTGGTGGGGGAATCGATGGTGAGGTCATTGGAGGGCGGAGGTTGAGAGAAATGATCATCATTTTGGGCGAAGGAAGAATCGTAGCCTTGAGGAGGGAGGTCAGCGTCGTAGCCCATGAAACCGTCATCTTCAAAAAGCGGAGAAGGGTGGTCCGATTGGATGCGGTCACCGTGATCTTCGCCGTCGTCGCTCATTGCATCGTCGAAAGACTCCATTCTTAATGGGGCGAGGGAGTGTGTGGTTTGGGTGTGGAGGGAGAGGCTTTGTGATCATTTTCCCCTGGAAAGATCGTTGGATTCGGATCGAAGTGAGAGACGGAAGGGGGAGTTCGTTACTGGAAAAGTCAGCTATGCCAACGTGGAATTGTGTTATTACAGAGTTTCGCTTCAATTCGGAATAGAAACAACTTTTTGTATTATTATTTGGTTATATCCCCGATTCAGTCCCTGAACTTTCATTTTTGGACTA